TTTTTTTTAGTGTGCAATGATATAACAGAAAGACAGAATTGTGAAAGCATACTTCCATTCACTAGCAAGAACTGAAAATATATTAAACTGTCATTAGATGAATTAAATATTCTCAAGACTGCTTTGGAGGGCCCTCTCCTCCCTCGACTGTCTATAGGACCTAGGTCCTGTTTCAGCATCGAAAATGATACGTAGGCCTCCGATTATAAAACGATAACTCGACAGAATTAATATTCTTCAAGCAATCTAGCAATCGTCTCAGACTTTCCTAACCCCGAACTCCACCATATAACTGAGACCACGACCAACCCTAACCCTTATTATGCACAATTTCAAATTAAAAATGAAACACATATAGGACGCCAAACTCTACTGAGGTGACAAGAGCAGGAAAAAAATAGTGCACACTATCCCCGGATAATTTTTGCTACTCGGGATGTAACTAAATATTATTTGACTACGCTACAACTGCCTGAAAGTTACGGAGACTGGGTGTCGTTTCAAGTCGGTGTTCAACTATGCGGTTCCGCACATTTGCGGCCGAGCGAGATAATGCCTTTCCAGAAAGGTGTATCACCGTTTCTGACGCTGACCGGACTAAGTGGATCCAATGCTGTGAAACCTGTTTAATCGGACTTTGTCACGAACTTCTTGGACACGTTATGCCGATATTCCGTAAACGTGGGTTTGTTCTCCCGACAACTCTAGACCACCAGTGACTTTCCGTGCTTCATTTACAAGAAGAATGTAGAAAAGGACCTCTGAGCCCGATGCGGGAAATACCGATAAAACGTCCAAAATCATGCTTATAAAAACACAATAAAATCAATAGAAAGAAACTGACAATTCGTGCCCAGATGGTCCTTCGGTAAGTGCAGTGGCTTCCATATTTTTATTCATTTATCTGTCTGAATAAGGTAATTCCCATGCATCCTAAGACAAACAAGTTCAATTTCCTTGTATGATTGCCATGCCTGCTTCATTAATAAGAGGTGAGCGAAAATTATATCTGGCATAACCAAAGCGTGTCCAAGTTCAAAGAATCCAAGCAATTCAAAAAAAATTCAGTAACACTGTACTTTATCGAGGAGCACTTTCGCTAGACTACAATTGCCACATTACCTCTCATAAGACGAAATACGCCATCCAAGTTTTCAGTGGATTGCTCAAGAATCAAGCTGTGCGCCAACGAGCACTAGTACCACTCACGCCCCTTTTGCTCTGAAGCATATGCTCGATTTGCCATCAGAAACCTACTTCAGGCCGTCATCTAACGTCGGAAATGTTGTGTTCACAAACTGCAGCCTTCATGACCGAAGGCAGAATGCAGTGTTAATTACAGTGTATTTGCGCTTCTACGCACCTCCAGTTGGCAGATCTACGACTCCTGTACATTTTACGTCCTTTATTATCAGTTTGATCTGTGACACTGCGTAGAACAAAAAAGGAAATCGCATATTTTAGGGGTTACCGTTTTTAAGCAAATTTAACTCACAGTTTCGGGAAATAATGCCGTTGGTGGAGAAGTCGACGACTGCAACGCGCCAGCGCTGACTCACGGTGCCATAACCGTAGACGGCCACAGTCATTGCCTGACCACCGGGCTCGGTGACAAGACCGGTGAAGACAACGGTCTCATCACTCTCTGAAGGTATACGAGTCGGCGCGGGGGTCCCGATGTCGGCAGTGGCGGCGGCCGCATCGTTAGGCGTATTTCTATCACCTTTTTCTGGCTGCCTCTGAGACGTCAGGGGAACTGAAACCGTGGTCTTAGTTGGAGTAGTAGACTTCTCTCGGGCGTACGTAAGCGGAATTGTGTGCCAACAGCGACCCTCAT